GGCCTGAGGCATGTCTTTCCAGCCCTCCAGAAGAATGATTCCCCTTTTGCCATCATCCCGACATTCATCCAAGTGCTGGGGAAGAAGATTGATTCAGCTATATCCCATCAGGACATGATCGATCTTGTCATGAGATCCTTAAGATCCAGCTGGTACATGTTTCAGGAACGACTTCAAGCAACAAAGAACCCACGAGCTCTTTCGACTCTTTCTTGCACGTGTACGTAGGTTCTGTGCGCAGTTCTATCCGTATGCATAGTCAGCCCATACATAATTAAGGATGGCAAAAGAGATCGAACGGCTCCTCAAGTCTATGAATGAAAAATATGACAAGCTTAGCCAGAAGCAAGCGGAGTACCTTTCAATGGATGCCACCAATTCATCGTCAGGGAACCCAGAGCATGTGGTAATCATCCAGTGTTCCTAAGGCCTGACATATAGAAATCGTTTTCCTGCACAAGGTCTCTTGAGCAGAAGAAGAAGGATGTGATGGACCTGTTTGCTGACATCACCAAGGAGGATGTCACCCTGAACAACTACATCAGCAGGAGCAAGACTCCTGACAGCTTTCATTGACAGAACTCCCTCCATCTCCCTCCAACATGATACTATTTGACTAGCCAGCTTTCTTCACGATGCAAGACATCCAGTTTGACATCCTGTCCGCCCTCTTGCTTGGGTCCCAACCTAATGCTCAGGAATGTCAAAGCTCCTGCCACCAGTGCTGCAACCAAGCCCGGATCTGGCCGTGCATCGAAAACAAAGGATAAGAAGAAGGAAAAGAAAGATGGAACAGAGAAAAAAAAGAAAACCAAGAAAGCTGATACCGATGGCCAGGATGAGGTACCAGGTGACAGTAAGAGTTCCAAGAAGGCCAAAAAGAACAAGTAGCGATTTTGTGATGCGTGAGGTTGAGCAGGTGACCACCTGGTGATGTTTTACATTTAAAAAATGCAATTCTGCAGAAATGTGTTTGTTTCTTGAAGGGTCAACTGCATTGCACTAGATATAGATTTAGACACCCGTGTGACTTCACACGAACACTGTGTCTGCTTTGGGGAGGGCAGTTGCTGAAACGCATGGCCCACGATCTTTGAAGTGATTGCATTTGATATCATTCGATGCCATCCATGGGGAAAATCATTTTGCCGTGAGTGTTATAGAAGTGTGGTATCCAGCACAGGTACAGTGCTGAGCCAATTCATATTGATGTCGCCCCAACGCAGGCCTTGATGAGCTCCTTCGCAGTCCAGGCCTGGAGGGGTGCTGGATGCTTTGATGATATGAATCCTAATGAAGCAAAAATGTATATCATGGACTCTAACCTTGTCCAGACAAGTGAAAAGACCAGGACTACCTTTTTTCCGTCCCCCTTGAATTCATGGAACAGGACCTTCAACTAGTTCGTCATCAAGCTCAACCAATGACGATGACTTGGCCGATGCTTTTCTGCGGGATGCCGAGGATGGGGTTACTTGGACCAGCTGTTGGCCCCACTTAGGTAAGATGTTTATGGCCCCAGGTTCTTCCCCAATCAATTGAGGTTGCTTCTGCCCGTGGGGTGCTCCGGCTAGCTCGTGTGGCATCTGGAAAGATGAAGAAAATGGGACCCTGGACTTTGACTTCAAGAGCAATTTTTATTTTAATGTTTGTCGGTGGAATACAACCAGCTAGATATACAAATCAACCCAACCAGTCCTAGCCCAGGTGTTTATGATCATGCAATCGACAAGCTGGCTCGATACTCGCGATCCAAGACTGGTCGAGCTGGCAAGAATGCTGCCAGGGATTTTCATCGGTACATCCATCGAGATGGGAAAGCGTTTGGGGTGGCAGTCTCTGAATTTGAGATTCCAATCCGCAGGAAGATCCGAACTACTCAGGGCAAACGACGTCGACGAGAGATCACAGTTAAGCATCCTATCATTCTACTATCGCGGTGGATGCAAGCAATCCTTTCATCCTATCCCAAGTTCTTTTTGGGTGGACATTGCCCAGAGTCTGATGGTGGATGACTACAGGGCAATGTTCAGCCGCTTTTGGGAGCGTTTCAGACCAGGTCACCCTGACCATCCAGTTTACCAGAAGTCTGTGGAGCAGCGAAGCTCCACCATACCCATAGCGATCCATGGTGATGAAGGCCGAGGCCTTGCAAAGGTACCAGTACTTGTACTTGCCTATCAGGTCATGATCCCTTACTCAGGTGAAAACAAGCTTAACTCATCGAAGTAACTTCATATTTGCTTTCAGCTATTTTTTTGTTTGGACTGTGGACTTCAACCTGAAAAAGAGTATGTGTTGTCAAGGGTGTGCCAGGCATGCCTTGATTGCACCTAGGCATTCCTACACCACACGGCTCTTGACGACCCTGTTGCCTTCAAACTGGTACGCCAAGAAGGACGCCAGCATCAATGCCATTCTGCAGGCCTTGGCTCACGATTTGACCCAGTTGCTGGATGTTGGGATCACTGTGGAGGCTGGGTGGTGACAGGGAAAGGCTTGAACATCAAAGACCAAAGTTTTGGGAAGTTGACTGACCTGTCAACTTTGAAGGTTTGTGGCAAACAGCAGCGCTTTTATGCAGCATATGTTGCCTGCAAAGGCGACTGGCCTTGGCTTAGAAAGGCCTATGCACTATACAGTGGCTTCACCTCGAAAAGGATTTGCCATTTATGTGATGTATCTGACCCTTTGATCTATAGTGACAAGTTTTGAGGGGTTTGGGTTTCAAGAAGCTAAATATCTATAAACATATCAGCTAGGACCCCAACATGTCCCAATCACCGAAAGCTGCAGGATTGGTGGGATGTCACAGCAAATGGGCAGCTTCGATCTTTGCGGCCTGGATACACCAACCCATGCCCATTCAAGAGATCTGGAACTCCTAGCCCACTTCGTTCAATACCTGGAGGGGGAGGGCCTGATATGGTGAAGCCGGACCTCATGCATGTGTTCAATATTGGGATCGGTGGGGACATGGCAGCCAGCTGTTTGATAGCCCTTTGCCACATGAAGCTCTTCGGACATCATTCTGTTCGATCCCTTCCCAAAAGGATGGATGAGGCATATCTCTGTTTTGATGCTTGGTGCTCAAAACATGGTCATTGTCCACGCATCAAGGATTTTGAACTGAAGACCTTCAAAGTGCAATCGTTACTAGATCTAGATTATTGGCCTTTTATTTGTAATTTTCCAACATTGTGTGGGATTAACTGTCTACTTCCTGCCCATCCCAGGTTGGCAAGCAGCTTCCCAAAAGGCACTGGGCGAGCGCACGACACCGCGCTGCTGTGCAAGTGGTTGCAGTCAGAACTGGATCTTCTGGGACCTCAGGATGTTGTGCTTGAGCAAAATTGGTATTTTTGGGTTGCATGGGGGCCAAAGAGTTTTCTTGAGGAATGCCCTTTTTCTGATTTCTATGGATTTCTATCATATCAGGATCCAGTGCATCAAGACTACCTGCAAGTGCTGCAATGGACCTTTCGGCACACCAACCAGTTCTTCAGCATGATCCACAAGGAGGGCATTTGGATCTCTGCTGCCACAGCCCGAATCATTGTGCAGCACGCCTATGATTCAGCTGAACCTTGGTATGTATAAACTCGATCCTTTTCCTGCTATAGCCTATAGAGAGCCATCTTGTCCCTACAGCCCTTGAAATAGATTGGTGCCCTGCTGAAACAATACAAGGAGGGCTATGGGTGTCTAGCTCGAATGAGCGCTGATTTGAAATGGGCCCTCTTCCGGTTGAGACCCAAGCTGCACATGTATCCACATGTGGCGAATCTCGGCTCATCCTTTTTTGGTATGTATGTACTAGTTAAACTTATTTTTACAGATATAGTTTTCACACTAGTCACTAGCTGCAAGCACAGAGTGAGGAAATCTATGGAGTTCCAACTTGCAGCTGGAGCACAGCATGTTCTCAACCCACACTGCGTCTCAACTTTAATTGGCAACCAACTCCTTTTTGGATTTAGGGTCCCAATCTCCCAATCCAACCTCTCAAGATAGTCCCTGAAGTAGGTGACCTGACCTTACATTTCCTTCCAGAGGCCACTCCTGCTGGAGTGACGAAGACTACATCGGGCGCGTATGCCGCGTGGCGCGGCGTGTGAGTGCTGGCAACCTTGTTGCCTACAGGGTGATCTCAAGATCCCTTCTTAAGTACCAAAGATACTTCAAACACAAGATTGGCCACTGAACGACCGGTCCTGAGGGCCTGGCTCCTTGAAGGCCACCAATTGCCGCCAGTGCATGAGTCGCTGGTGCTGTGGGGATGATGGGAATGGGGTGAAAGGGTAGCAGCTGTATGTCTCGAGGGTTTTTTCAGGAAACGAGCGCTTTTGAGTTCATGGCTATATCACAGGGCATCTCGAGCAGAAACTTTTCGATACAGAAATTTCTGTATCATTGTATGCCCTTGGTTATATATATATATAGAGAGAGAGAGAGCGCAACTGCGTTGAGAGTTTTTTGATGTTGCCGTGACATGATTTAGGTATGAAGACTTATTGTTACTTCTCTAACTCAGAATATGTTCAAACTCAGTGACACCCCGGAGCTCGAACAGCTGTCCATATCTGTGAACATTTGGTCCCACAACTCAAGCGGCTTGGTGGGATGGAACGTACAGACCTCCCCACCGGACGCACGGTCGACCCCCTTTCGGACGCGGACGGGGCACAGTGACCCGAAGGCCGGCGACCGGCCTAAACAATCGGCGTGACATGTCGTGACCAGAAAAGGAAGTTTCCTTTCCTTTGGTAGTGCAACATAGGGCGTCTTAGACAAACTTCTATAAGAACCTTCTATAGCGAGGACATGCGCATTTACCAGTGGAACTTCTGGGGTGGGGACGTCGAAATGAACTCTGTGGCCGCATCTGGCCAGTCTGAGTCTGATTCCAGTGTTTGGCACGGCCCGGACCCTCACCGGACCCCTCCGCTTTTGTGCGCCTGGACCTGGCGCCCAGAGCTTCCCTTGCTTCCTGGGCCCAGGTGATTCCCGCGACGCAGGTCTTCACCGCGACCATGGGCCGCAAACCCACCCAGGTGCCAGCGGTGTTTTCGAGCCACTGGGTGTGTGTGATGTTTTCCGAAGCTTCAAGCGCCGGAGCGGTGTCTTCCGTAGGGCTCCAACCACCTCCTGAGAAGGTGGTTAGACCCCCCAAACCCACCCCAACCACCTTGCCAGGAGGTGGTTGGAGCCTTACTGTATATAGGGCTTATTGGTGGTTGACCCTCCAAACGGGGTCTCCAAACGGGCGACCCGTGGGAGTCTTTAGCCACAGAGTGCATGGAAAAGAGAGAGAGAGAGAAGTGAGAGCGTTTGAGGTCTGGTAGTATAGGTCCGGTGGTAGTATAGGTCTTGAGGTTTGGGAACATGATTCCTACACTACTCAGCTGTTACTATTTTAGCCCTTTGGTTTGGATTGACATGGGCGTGTTCTGAGCTTTTGGAGCTGGCCTTTGATTCCAAGCAAGATGGAATAGTGCGGCACACTAATCATTCGCAGTCGACGAATGCAAAAAGAGAACTGGCCATGGGCCGTCCATTCGAACAAGTGTCCGCTTTTCGACCGCTTTTCGACGGATGAAGCATCACTCCGATGGCTGTCTCGAGAGGGAGGAAGGAGGAAGAGCGGAGGAAGAGCGGAGGAAGAGCGAAGGTGCTGCGTTCCAAATCCAGCCGTCCTTCATCACTGAGCAGTTTTGGAAAGGTGCACCGTTCCCTGCACATGACTTCTTCTGGTGAAAGTCCCTGCAGTATGGCAGACCCTGAGGGCTGTTGTGCCCAGGATGCCGGCCAGTTTGGTCCCCCCTTGCCCTTGCCCTTGGGCTGTTGTTTCCACTGTTGCTGGATGGGTCAAGGAGGGTGTTGACTTCCATTTCCCTCCCCCTTTTGGCGCTGGATGCCCCTCCCTTCTTGGGTTTGAACGGGGTCCAGACTCTCTCGTAGACCTCCCTCATCCAGAACAGGCTGTCTTGCTGGACCTGAGTCGTGGCTGTCCTGGCATCCTCTTGGGATGCCCACACCTGCCCGCCAAGTCGTTTACTGATGGAGTAATGGATGCTCTTGCGGATTGAGGAAGGTACACAGCTATAGGCTATACGTTCGTAGACTCACTCATCGACATCGTGTTGGAGCATTAACATTTTTTTGCAACAGGAACAGCGTGATCATGATCAAAGCAAGCTTGCCGCTTCCAACAAAAGATATTGTTCCAGCTGATGGATTCTGCATGGACCAAGCCCCGCAAAAGACATATTGTAAGATTCAATTGCTTTCCCCTTTGAGAGAAAATGGTGGAGGACTTTGTTTTTAAACATTATTGTAGAATTGTTGTTTTTTGTAGAATGCAGCATGCAAGTGCTTGGCATTGGGCAAATAGAACCCAACAACCGAAATGTTGAGTTATCTTGTTGACCCGTTTGTTCTGCATCAACTCCCCTTACCTTATTTTACCTCAATAAAGGGCAACTGCTCCAAGGTTCATACAGTATCACTGTACAGCCATGCCCCTTATGATGTATAGTATGGTCTTTAAAACCACACCAGACCGAGAGGTCGTATAGTATGACAATGTTTATCAAGTTTTTTTTGAACTTTGTTGGTGTTGGTTTCGATGTCCAGGTTGGGACTTGGTTTCAGGATCGCAGGCCAACCAGTGGCAGTGTGGTGTATACAGGAAGCGATACGCCTTCCCGTAGCTCGCTGGTTTTCAGGGTTGGTGCAGGTGTTGGGCTGCAAGGTGTTGGACACGCAACCTAATGTCACCTGGCCTAAGCCGTCTGCAGGCCAAAGCCTTCTTTGCGGATGTGAATGAGCTGACCCACTTGCTGAAGAAGTGTCTCATCTCTTCGGTGGTCCTGTCTTTTCATTGTCCCCTTGACCCGGTGGGTGAAGGAGCCTAAAACATGGTTTACGGAACATAGCTAGTAGTAGCAAGTGCATCGCTACTAGTAACATGACTACTATTAACAAGTCACTAGCAGTAGTAGTAGTAGTAGTAGTAGTAGTAGTAGTAGTAATAATTAGTAGTAGTAGCTAATTCACTTGTTACTAGTAACTTGTCATTGTATGAATTGTAGTGACCTGGGCGTGAACTTGCTTGGTGAGGCTCCAAAAGGACCAACATCTTCGAGACATGGCCTCTTACTTTTGGTCATTGACATTTGATATATGGAATGCATTGAACTTAATTAGTAAGAGATTGATGCCAGTTCTTTGCATATCATGAGACCCAAAAGCTACTGGTCGCTTCCCTGCTACTAGTAGCGATGCCCTTTGTTCCTAGCTTCTTGTTAGTGGCCAACCTACTTGCGATGGCCTCCACCGAGCATAGCGTCCGAACGCTACGGGACGAGAACTCGACTCCTGGGGGCTCCTGCCGAGGATCGCGACCGCTGCCATCGTAGCTGGGCTGAAGGGCTTGAAAAGGTTCGACCCAAAGTCCTGAAAGAGAACCCAACGTAGGTAGGCTGTCGCTCTTAGGTTGGAGGCCGTCGCTCTTAGGTTGGAAGCCATCGCTCTTGGGTTGGAGGCTATCGCTATTAGGTTGGAGGCCATAGCTCTTCCCCCTGCCGACGAATTCATGAACCCTGAGAATTGCCTGTGGAAGACCATGTTCCTCTACAATGCAGTGGTTTTGAGAGTCCACGTTAATCTGCAGGAAGGTAGAGCCACTTGTTTTGGCGATATGAATTGAGAAGCCAAAGTAAACTGGTGATTAGTTGGAAGTGTGTTGCTTCTTTGATTTACCTTTATACCAACATACAAACATTTTGTGCTTCACTTGCTATTTGACCAAGGAAACCATTGTTAGACGCTGTGAGGTTTCAGGAAGGGGACAGACAGCTCCGGTCGCCACAGAGAACTTTTGCGATACAGTTCCAACTGCTGTACTTTTGCTGGACTTCCCCAGCACAGTTGGATATTTGATCCAACTTCTCTCAGCACCCTCAATGCCAGGTTTTTAGTTGAGGAGTTGGGAAGGGCCGGTATCCTCAAGTCGAACCAGCAGGGTGACCTGGCAAGGTGGGTGGTCTATCCGGCACCTCAGGTTCGGTGGTACTTGACCCCTATATCCGGCACCCACCCCAACCATCATCGAAACGGAGGCAGTTGGAGCCCTATAGGGCATATTATCTGAGAGGAGACACGTACTTTCGATTGATGTGGGCTAGATTTGCGCCTTTCGATCGTCCTCAGCGCGGCTCCTTCTCCCGGTATTCTTCGATGCCGATGCTGATGAAAGAGGAGGCGTGCAAGAAGTTGGACATTGGAATTTGGGCGGACATAATTTATAGTATATATTTATGTGATGTTTTCTAGATTCGCAGGGAGATGAATTTCTTTATCCATGGATGCTGATGATTTGATGCTTGGAAGAATGCACATGCGAAAATTATCATGTACAGTACCATATAATAAGTTAAGTACCAAATTCCTTGGATGAAGGGGTGCGTTGCCTAGCACCGATCAATCGTTGTGTGAGTGGCAGATCAATCACGATGATCCAACGAAAAACACCGCCGGGAAAGCATAGCCGTCGTCAGGATCTCCATGAGCATACCGAAGAGGAGGAGGAGCTGGCGGATGCTTTCCGCCTTGGTCGGGCCACCACTGCCAGCAGCGTCGCTGCCTGAGCTGTGGGGGGGAGCTGTGGGGGGCAGCTGTGGTGTGGCAAGACAACCTTTGTCACGCTTGGGCCCGGTACCATCCAGTAATCCACCTACACCCTGATGATGGTGAAACATTTATATAATATACGCTGGCATGCCATTTAATACATGATGGTGCTGTGCTGTTGCTTGGTGACAACTGACAACCTTTGTCCTTCCAGTTTTGGGATGTCCAGTGTAAGGCCTTCCCAGTCAGACATGCCCGTCGGACCCTACTTTTAAAGACCACACCATGCCGTGCACTGACGGTGTTGCCAGCTGCTCCAATCAATTGGCGCTAGAATTTGAAGGGTTCAGTTCTTCTTTCCACCTCTCTACCTGGACCATCCAATGGGTGTCCAATGTCCAATGGACTACCCTGCACTACTTAGGGATCTCCGTTGGACACCCAGACAGGATGGTCCTGGTAGTTTTAGTCTTTCGTTTTTCCACCAGTCATGACAGTCGTGACCCCCAAGCACCGAATTCCGGACCGAGCAGACCCGGGTCGATGATCTCGCCGCGCCATGCGTGGACGGGCGAGCCCGGTCCACGCACCACGCTCAGTTCTTGAAGAAGCCTGCCAACTTGGACAGCTGAGATCCTGATAGGGATGACGGAGGTTCACAGACGATGTACCAAATGCATCCCAAATTCTCCTTAAGCTCTACCAACTTTGCCTTTACGAACAACCAAGTTTGACCTGGGGATTTGTGGGACACTTCTTTCGCAATGTCATACATATGTTGGCAGTATGAACCCCCAGGGGTGTGGTTGCTGGTTGCAAGTCATTGATGTGTTTGCAGTATGAAACCCCAGGGGTGAGGTTGCAAGTTCCCCTGCAAATCTCTAAAACTGTTTTGCAAAGAATCGTGCATAGGTGTGGTAAACTACGGTAAGCTAAATGTTTGCTTGTTTAGAGTCATCATGTAGCTTCAACACATTCATCTCATGTGCGGTCCTTTATGAGATGCAATAATATGATGCTAGATAGACCATGGTAGACTCAGACCTCTAAAGGCCCTTCATGTCTTTGTCCAGCTTAGTCAGCACTTGGCCACTGGCCACCAGCCGCCAGCGAGCACAGTCCGGACCCGCCGAGCCTTTGACTAGCGGCGGAAGCTGGCAGGAGAAAAGAGTTCGCAACGCTTCGCGCCGGCGCGAAGCGTTGATGCCCAGGGCTCATGGGTATCTGGCCTCAAATATATATATATATATTTAATTTTTTGAGGCCAGGAATTGGAGTGATTTGCTTCGTAGTCATTGGAGACAGAGATCCCAAGTAAAAGGTATCTCTTGACCTAATTACCTTCTCAGCTGGGTGGGGCCGTGGGGGGATGTGGAGTGGAAAACCATTCCTTTCGAGAATTCACCGCCGTCACCTTCTAAAGAAAAACAGCTCCAGCAGAAGTACCGACAAGTACGTTACTAGCCACTGTTATACCTAGCCGCGACACCAGAACAAGGCGATCAAGCTTGCCACGGTATGCTTCGCCATCGCGTGGTTTCTCGGTTTTCCCTCTGAGGTTCCGATTGACCACGGCCTTTCTGGTGGTGCCGCCGGCCAAGGGAGGGCGGCCAACAGCGGTTCGCGCATGGCCATTGGGGTTGGGAAAAGACTCCCAGTGTGAGGTGAGTTTCTCAGAGACCTGGTGGTTTCAGGATCTTAAAAGGACACATACGAAGGGACCTGACTTGGGCTCTTTGGCTCTTTGTGGTTTCAGGACATGGAGGGACACCGAACTGGCTGGTGAGAACTGAAGGCGACTCTCAATTCATATTGTTCGATGGCTCACGTGGCTCACGTGGCTGTGACCTGATCCAACCTGAAGGACCCGGACCACCAGTTTCTACTTTGAAAGAACGGGCTCCATGGATCCTACTACTTCGATCCATTGGATGAAGGATCCCAGAACAAGAATCCTTGGGGCCTAGTACTAGCTAAGCTTTTGATCAATTGTTTCTGGTTCAACACAGCTCGGTTCCCATCAGCCCCAGTTTGCAAACAAATATGTTTGGCAGCCGGTGCCGGGGACCTGATGGTGCAGATAGAAGCAAAATAAGTTGTAAACTAGCGAAGCTATGGGGTTCTTACTTCAAATAACAATGAGTTGCCCGTGCGCTTTCGAGACAGGTTGCTGGTGCTGGTGCTGGTGCTGTGAGCTGGCTGTGCATGTGGTGGAGACAGGTTGCTGGTGCTGGTGCCGGTGCTGGTGCTGTGAGCTGGCTGTGCACGTGGTGGAGACAGGTTGCTGGTGCTGGTCCGGGTGCCGGTGCTGGTGGTGGTGCTGTGAGCTGGCTGTGCACGTGGTGGGGACAGGTTGCTGGTGCTGGTGCCGGTTGCCGGTACTGGTGCTGTGAGCTGGCTGTGCACGTGGTCGAGACAGGTTGCTGGTGCTGGTGCCGGGTGCCAGTGCTGGTGCCCGCTTCTGACAGTGAAGTGATAACAACCGCCGCTTCTGACAGTGAAGGGTAACAAACCGCCGCTTGCAGCAGTGAAGGGCGACCAAGCGCCGCTTCTGACAATGAAGTGCCAGCAGTCATGGGCCGCATGAACTTATACACGCAGCATCATACGGTGTTGTCGCTTGAGCGTTCTTTGTCTATTAGCGCTGTGGAGTATTTACAGTTCTGTTTTGGCCGACAGCTGTGTCAAGGGCTGTACTGTTTGCGCGCATACTTTTCTACGTATAATGTTCTATGCGCAACGTCAGGCTCTCAACCGACCATTGTTCCAGCATGTTTCAGCATGCTACACACACACAATAGTCGTGCTGGATACTGATTGGCCTTGGGCGAGTGAAGCCTACGGGCTTTGTTCGCCGTTTGTGCGCATAATGCTTTACGCGCAAGGTCATACGGCCTTATCGTCCTGCAGATCGTTGCCTCAAGCATGCTACAAAGTCAATAGTGGTTATTCCCCAAATAGGGATAGCTATGGGGTTCTTGCTGCAAATAAGAATGAGCTGGCTGCGCTTTCGAAAGGGTGTCGGTGCTGGTGCTGGTGTTGTGGTCCTGGGTGCTGGTGCTGTGAGCTGGCTGAGCGCGCGTTTAAGACGGGAGGTGCCATAAGCTGGCTGTGCAGGCTGCGTGCATTCTTGCTCCAGCCAGTCGCATGTCAACAGGTCGTGGGATTCTGCCTAGCTATCTGGGTCTATGCTGGTGTAATTTATCTTATTATTATGTATTCCCAGAGTATCGAATGTCAATAATTATTACTGACATTCGTGAATGTTTGAATTATTTCTGACATTGGCCGATGTCAGTTCTGAGAACCGACATTCATAAACTGTATATTTTCATAAAAACTCCCAAAAGCATAGGCTGCAGTGCGCATACCTTGCTGAAATTTGGATTTGTTACCATGGTTTTCTACACTTAGTTTTGTTTGCTCTCAAAATACACACCCAACAAATCATAATTTGTGACAGCTAGTGCGAGTTTGTGAAATGAGGTCCTGGTAACTGGTATGTGGATTGATTTGAGATGAGTTTGCAATGTGGCATGATTGTTAATACTGTCCTGTTGTTTGTAAGAGGTATAAACAAGGTCTTTCTGCACCTCAAACCTTCCATGATCTTCCATGTTTTTTTGGAGCAACTCCCGTGCAAAGTGCCAAACATTGGCCATTTGTTTACGCTACCTTCAAAAGATGAAGAGGTATGCTCAGACTAGGCCATAGTGTGCAGTGGTACGCAATAAGTAATTAACACCGTGTGTGTCAAAACTTTCTTGATTGCTGTTCGTTTGATGTTCCATGAGTTTCCCATTTTTTGTGGTGGCTTTCCCAAATTGTGAAAAAATCAAAGGGTAAATTAGTTCTGTGGGTGTCTAACCTTCATGATAGATTGGGCTCACCGAAATGTTGTTGCTTAATGTTTTAATTTTTAGGTTTGAATTTGGTGTTCAGCTAACATCGTAAAGTCCTGACGTCTCGTATTCCCTGACGTCTCGTATTCTGCTAATTTTTTGATTAAAACCATTTTGCCGCAGCTAAGCTATATATATAATATACATGCACATACACAGAGAGAGAGACATTTTGCAGTTTTACATGGTAAGTAGTAAATTAGAATATGAACTGCCGCCAGTCGCTACATAATATCTAATTTCTTGTTGATTCTTCTTTGTTTAAACCCAATGTCCCTAATACAATCAAACCCTACAAGGTGTTCAATGGGCTAGTTGTGAAATTCAGTTCGGCACAGAATTTGTTCGGCACAGCAACAGAAGAAAACAGAAGCGACTGGGGCCATTTCTCTAACCAAATATGAACCAGCTGCGCGGGTACATGAGTACAACTTTCGATCAGCTCCATATTGACACATAAAACACAACAAACTTGGGGAGTTCCAAGATGGGGGTTCCTGAAACACTTGGTGGAGATGAAAACTTGCTTCGTGTGGGTGGTAAACACTTAGCATGTAAACGCTGCAGCCGCACTTCTACCATCTAGCTGCACGAGACCAGCATTAAAAAAAACAAAACAACATGATCAAACAAACAAAATAAATACCAAAAGTGCCAATCGCACAGGCAGCTGTTCAGCTTAGGAAGCCTTCGTATACCGCCGTATTGACGTCTCAAGAAAAAGAGATGGAACAAAAACTGTTGGGAGAGGGCTTCAATCACATGTTACAGGAAGAACGGTAAAGTGCCAGAGATTGTGCAAACATATAACTTCTTGTTGAATCTTATTGACAATATTGACAGAATTCTATTTTTTTCTTAGGCGCACTGCGTGTGAACAACTTCCAAAATCAATAAATATCAAGGCACATTGCGCGAAATCACGCTAAATCACGCCAAATCACGCTAAATCACGTATGACTTACAAATCTTCGTTAATGTATGTTCTCACAACTGACATTCGGCTGTTTTCTTTATGAATGTATGTTCTCAGAACTGACATTCATAAATTTGCATTTTTCCATAGTGTGTCAAATCACGCGAAATCACGCGGAACCACAATGCTGCTATGATCCCCTTTGCAAAGCAAAACCAGTAATTAATAAAACCTCATTGCATTTGGTTGTTTTGGTTCTTCAAAATCTCAGCCACACTGCTTATGCTACGCATCAAATGTCCTTTGCGTTACCTATTTGTTTGGTAGTTTACTTAGCACCATGGCCCTCAAAATGATAGACGAAAGATGGCAACGCAAATTCTGCGCAAAGTAGCATCATGCAGTTGCATTGATAGATATGGTCCTGGTCTATGCGTGTAAACCTCGGCTGCCTCAACCTTCCCAGTCGCAAGACCAGAACAACCTAATGCATTGTTGTGCCTTTTTCCGCCACTTTTGGCTAAACTTCGGCATGAAACTCCCCCAAATGCATGAACTAAATTGGGGTTGGACAAAGTTTTACCTACATGACTTTATTGTGTTTGTTCTTACAGTCTTAATAAGGGCCGTACAACAACCACATGTTGGCAAACCGACCTACACTTCTAGTGAAAGGAGCCAACTGGTTCACTGGGTGGTGGTTTGACACAGCCAGTTTTCCACATTTTTGTGTATATATATATATACATGTGTTAGATGTATAAGCATACAACATGTACATATTGTATATGTTTTAACTATGCATATTATGATGCATATCTGTGATAGTACATGAAGCACAGCTCATGGCTGGCCAGCCATTTCCAGCCGATCAAACGATTAGTACGTATCCAGGTCGAAA